CAAGAAAGGAGAGATAAAGAGAAGGAAAACTTCGAGCGTTTCCGGGCTCCAAGAGAATAGAGGAGGAGATTAGGGTTTTGATATTTCTTTATTGCTTTCATAATAACGGGGAAGTGTTACAATATATAGGAAGTAAAGCTACGCTAGTTGACCTAATGGGCTCGGGCCCGTACTAAACTCTAATCTATAGAATATTAATAAATAATAATAAGTAATACGGAGTACTATATATTTAATAAATAATATAACTAATATATTATCATATCATTCCCACCTCCTTAAAATCCACCTTGTCCTCAAGGTGGAGGCTCCCACTCGTGCTTCTGAACCGGAGAGATAATGCTAAACCAAAGGAGCAGTCTACTATTTGAATCTTCCACCATCTTGGCTCGTGCAGCAAAGTGATGAAAATATGAGACATAGCACATAGCATATGCAGTTGCTCTCGGTGAAACCAGGTGCTCCGTCTTGACCATAGTGACAATGTCAAATAACTTAATGGTGTCAGATAAAATAGGAATGTCTGCTAGCTTATTATCTGCATCTGCCACCTTGTCAATAATATCGGGAACATTAAAATCTTCAATGACCACACCAGCTGAGGTATAAAATTCCTGAAAAGTAGGATCTAGCTTGTTGACATTGGCAACATCTTCTACAAGATGACTTTCATTTTTTTCCACAATGTTGGACCTCCCATTATGTTTGTTTATGGCGTCAGGTCCGATGTCCACTTCATCTCCATCTTGTGAGCCAACAGTTGATTCCTCCTTGGATGTGTGATCATGTGCTTCAGCGTTTTGCTTAATTACTGTAGAAACCACATTCAACGCAAAAGGCGGAGTGTCAATGAGAATTTTTATAGCGCCCAACATGTTTGTTCTAAAGTTTTGTAACTCCCAAGGAATCAAACTCGGCAAAATTGGGGGATCACGGACCAAATCTTGTATGAAGCAAGAGATTTCTACATCAAACGCGTGCAAGTCGGAGTCATAATTTGGCGGACCAGTAGTATGACGAAATGACCGGAGCGTCTTTATAAGTTCATCCACATGATCATAAACTTCACACACTCCTTCGTCTAGATCAATTTCTCCATATAGAACATCTTCAAGCAAAACAATGAGTGTGTCCAATGCATTGGTACTCATAATCAGAATCGCTAACCGTGCAAATTGGGCCTCCATTCGTGACAAAAATTCATGCTGCATGATGGGCTTTTTTTTTTCGCCACTTGAATTAAATCATGGGAACCTCAACTTTGTAAAAAGTGGGGCCAAAACCTAGAGATTATTGCAAAAATCAAGATTTGGGCGAAACCTGGGCTTCTTTTTTTCTATGGATCTTCTTCTTTGGAAGAAGCTAGGTTGCACTGCCGTCTTCTCCGATCTGTTTCTGTGATGCCTTGCTTTCTCTGTTCTTTTTTTGTGTTGGATGTTATCTTCAATTGCAGATTCCTGCGGCCGCAAACTAAGATCTGATTTGGATCGGCGGCAATTGGGTTGCTGCGTTGGGACGGTAGAATTGAAAAAAATGGCGGCTGAAACTTTTTTTTTTACTCTCTTTTTTTGGGTAATCTCTCAATGAAAACACCAATTGATACGAATATCGTATCGAATAGGGAAGAACTTCGAGCGTCTTCGGGCTCCAAGAAAGGAGAGATAAAGAGAAGGAAAACTTCGAGCGTTTCCGGGCTCCAAGAGAATAGAGGAGGAGATTAGGGTTTTGATATTTCTTTATTGCTTTCATAATAACGGGGAAGTGTTACAATATATAGGAAGTAAAGCTACGCTAGTTGACCTAATGGGCTCGGGCCCGTACTAAACTCTAATCTATAGAATATTAATAAATAATAATAAGTAATACGGAGTACTATATATTTAATAAATAATATAACTAATATATTATCATATCAGATTCATCCAACGTTTCTGGTGCAGCTGGTGAAGGCGGTTC